GGAGGGGGCAGAGCCAGGAGAGCTGCCCCAGTGCCCAGAGGGATGTTGCAGAGCACAGGGCATGGTGCTGAAGGAAACACTGGGGTGATCTGGCCGAGGGGTGAGGGCCACTGCTCAGGGGTTGGCTGGGCATTGCTCAGAGGGTGGTGAGCAAGCACCCTGAGCATCACTGGCTTTGGATATTCCCGTATGGTTACTGTAATTTTCCTTTTTTGTCCTATTCAACTGTGTTTATCTCAACCCACGAGTCTTACCTTTTTTTCTGATGCTCTCCCCCATCCAGGGACTTGGAGCTACCTGGTCTAGTGCCCCTGCTTGTGGCAGGAATGGAATGAGATGAGCTTTAAAGTCCCTTCCAACCCAAACCATCCTGCGACCCCTCTGGGGGGTGAGTTTCCAGTTTAACGATTCATTTCCCTGCTTTGCAGAGAGAAGAGAGGTGCAGCTCCCTGCAGTCACTGATGCAGAGGAAGAGGTGAAGGGAGAAGGGGCTGCTGGGTCTCCTTCCACCCCTGAAGCAAAGGAGACAGAGGACGAGTCGCTGATGGACCGAGCAAGAGCTCTGCCCAACACCACACCTGACACTGCAGGTGAATCTCCCATCTCTGCTGAGACATGGGAGGAGAAAAAGGGATCCTCAATGCTGGAATATGCCACAGCTCCAGAGGACAACACAAAGCCCTCAGCTCAGCATGGGGCTGGTGACTCTGCTCAGGAGGTTCCTCTGCAGAAGAAGGTGAGGACCCTGCTGGGTGCTGGGGAGCAGCTGTGCCTTGTTGCTCTCTTGCTAGAAGTGAGGAGGCCAAGCTGCATCCCCCACATCCCTTTGGCCATGTCAGGGAGCTGCTGCCCGGCTTCCTCCAGGAGAAGCTCGCTGTGTTTGCTGAAGCTGTGTTGGGCATGTGGAGCTGCGGTGCCGGGAGGGGGACACCACAAATTACATGAGTCAGCTTAGACACTGCTGCGCTGCTCTGTGCTCCTGCTGAGCAAGTCTTGAGTATTAAACCTACACAGTTCTCAAGAGTTATTTGCATTTCACTGGCTGGTCTTGTACCTTCTCTTCCTGATCATTCTCTGTTAGCCCTGTGTAGCAGGAAAACATCAGCACTTGCTGCAAAAGAGGAGGTGACAAAGAGTTTCCCTTTGGCTGTGAATAAACAGACATTGTGGTCTTTGTTTTTCTTTTTTTAATAGAAAGAGAACAAGAGTAAAGCAAAGAAACATATGTCCATCTCCAGGGAACCTGTTCCCCTGGACTCTCTGCCTCCTCAACCACAGAGTTGCCTGACACATGACTTTTTCCTCAGGAAATCCAACCCCACGTTGGTGAGGGAGCAAAGCCAGGTGCTGATGGATGCACTGATGCCAGTGGAGATGCAGCTGAAGGCAATAGGCATTTGCACACCGGGGGAAGGAAGCTGGCAGCCCGGAAGCAGAAAGGCTGGGCCCTGCAGAGCAGCACAGCCAGGGGGGCTGTCCCAGCTCGCAGTGCCACAGCCCAGGGGACAAGGTGGGGGATGGAGCAGCCAGGGGTAATGTGGAAGAGGACAGTGGTGGCCCTGGCCAGCAGCCAGCAGCCACAGCACGTTCCCAGGCCTGGGGCAGCAGCAAGGAGCTGCTGTCAGCAGGGCAGGGAGCGAGTCCCTCTGGGCTGCCTCCTGCCAAGGGAGCCCCCAAAGCAAGGCTGAGACCAAGACCTCCCCTGTGGCTCAGAGCCCACAGGCTGGGAAGGAGCTCAAGCAGAAAGGGACCAGTTCCACTGTTAAAGTGAGTGTGAGTGAGCTCTGGTGAGTGTTCCAGTGGGCACAGCTTCCCTTTGTCAGTGTGACTTGCTCATGCTGTCAGTGATGCTGAGGAGCACCTGCCCAGGCATACAGGAGTGAATTGAGGAGGACTATGGGGACGCTCTAATTCAAATTCTGTTCTCCTGGGTGTCAGTTCTAGCCCAGCTCTCACTGAGAGGTGGCTCAGATGCCCCCAGGAGTGGCAGGTATCTCTTCTCTAGCCAGCGATGCTCTCTGGAGAGCTCTGGGATCCCCTTGAACAAGGGGATTTTGTGTTTTGCAGGTGCCTATGCTCTGTTCATACACAGGCCTGGTAAGCTGGAAGTTGCTGTGGTTTCTCTTTCACTTTCTTTGTGCCCCATCCTCTGGGACTGGGGCTCACTGGGCTGTCTGTGTGGCAGTGTGTTTGGATTGGGCTCCTCTTCCATCATGGGCTGTTTTCCTTAGCCAGTGGCTTCCCTCAGCAAGGGATCAGTGCCTCCAGGAGGATGGAGCTGGTGGTGCACCAGTGTTGGGGGGCAGATGGGCAGTAGAGCAGAAAGTACTGCACAGCTGATGGGTGATGTGGACATCTTGGCTCCGGTGGGGCAGAAGCCCTGGGATCATCAAACAGAAATGTAACGGAGGAAACAAAAAGGAAATTGGCTTTGTTTAAAGGAAGTCATGCAAGACTGCAGGTACAAGACTGTGTTTAAGCAGTGTAGCTAAGAAACGTGAATGTGGTTATTTCTTAGCAGTGAAAATTTTTACCTAAGGCTGTAAGAGTATATAAATGGAGTTGCAGAAACAATAAATGGCTTCTTGCTTGCACCAGGAGTCCCATCTCTCAAGTGCCGACACAACGGCAGGAGATGCTGTGCTTCCAGGGTCTCCTGTTTCATTGGGCATTGTTTGTCTCCCTGTTGCAGAATGAAAACACAAAAGAGAAAAATCAGCCCCCATGTGAGAAAATGCCCAACGTGAGTACGGAGACAAGTTGGATCCGAGGAGCGGAGGCTGCCAGAAAGGAGGGTGCTGTGGCTGCAGCAGACAGCCCCAAGAACAAAAAGGAACAAAGGAAGCAGAAACCTGTGGAAAAGGCTAAAGAAAGGTGAGAACAGCCCTGCTGCTCCCAGCATTCTTCACTAACAGGAGTTGCTGTCAGGAGGACTCAGGACTCCAGACTGAGGTGCTGGGATTGGGTCAGTATGTACCTTGGACATGTGGAAATGAATTGTCTTGAAACTGAAGTGAGGTGGTTGTGCACGACAGAGCCAGTGTTGAATGGGAGATGCAGTACAGGTGATGTCGTGGGTGTTGTGTTGAACCTGCTTGAGCATCTGATGGATAAAAGAGATTATTCTCTTATTTCTTGCTCTAATGAGCACCATGTGCTTCACACACACAATGCTTCAGGTGAATAGTGTGAAGAGCTGTTTTAATGTTTTGCTTAATATGTATGAGCTGGAAGGGATGGAAAGGGTGGCCATTCCAGGTGACTCTGCTAGGCCAGAGCATCTCCTGCTGCCTTTAGGAGCCCATTGTTCCTTTTTGCACTGGACTTTGCACTAGGCCTGCTCAAACATCAGTCTGAGTGAACTGCTGCCAGAGTTTATGGATCTTGCAGCCACTCAGCTGGTCTCAAATCGAGCCTGATTTGAGGTCTACAGTGACTTGTACAATTAAAAAACCCCAACAGAATCCATTCTATTCCCCTTCCAATTCTTTCCTGCAGTTCTGTGAGCCGCAATGAGGGTGTTACAGTGTATTTCCATGCAATATTATCCAAAGACTTCAAGTTCGACCCTGGTAGCCATAAAGTGTTCATCAGGGCCCAGGGCATTCCTTCCTACGCTGAGTGGGAGGACAACATCTGCGAGCTGGAGTGCACCCGGTGAGTGTTCACTGCTCTGAGATCGGGGTCTCTGTGGGGCCTCAGCCGCTGTGCAAGGTGTGGCTCTGTGCCCACAGCTGGGGGTTGCAGCAAGGGGCTTCACAGTGGAGAAAACTGTTCTAAAGTCTCACCATTCCTATTAAAAATGGAGCAATGCATGGAAGGGGAGGTCTGTAGATCAGCTAACATGTCCTTTGCCTGCCTTTGCTGTGTTTGTGTTTCCAAGGCCTCGGGGAAAACATGGATACCTCATTGAAGGCGCTGTAACTCTCAGCAGAGAAATCGTGGATAAATACATTCCTTACAAGTACTGGGTGACCTGTGGGGAGGGGGAGTATGAGTTCATTTACAAGAATCCAGTATCCAATAATCCCGTGAATCGCTGCTTATTGATAAACCGTAGATTCCTCAAAAATGGAGGTGAGCTCTGTTGGCTGGACGTGCACCTTGGGGTGATCCCTGCTGTCCTATGGCCCAGCATTCCTGGCAGGCAGCCCTGTCTGAAGCTGGCAGCTCAGTGGGCTGCTGGGGGTATTGCTGTGGCAGCTGGAAGGGAGAAGACACCTGATTGCAATGGTTGTTTTCCTGTGTTCTCCTTGTGTTGCTGTTTCAGTGTGGCACCAGTATGATGACATCGTGTGTGCAAAGCCTTCCATGCTCAAAAACTTCCAGCAGAAAGTTGGTTTTGATAATAACAAGGAAGTGGCGAAAGGGAAGAAAATTGCTGCCAAAATTATGTTAGAAAGTATCTTCAGCATTCTTGCAACCCGGAGTCCTGACAATCTGAGGAATTTCTTCTGTCAGCTGAAGCAGTTCCATTACGTTGCAGTAGGCCAGCGGGTGTTTGATGATGGGCCAATGACATGGAAAGAGTTAAACTTCGGCGCAGAGCAGGTAATCCCTTCTCCTGCAGAGACAGAAAGTATTCTGATACTGAACACAAACTTTAATTTTGCTGCTGACCTCGGTGGGTTAATTTTGCTTTTCCAGTCAAAGTTCAAGTACAGAAGCAGTGGGGATCCTTCTGGGGTGGCTGTCACTGACTGCATTGAAGGCTTCAGTCAGCCTGTGCACCTCGGTGTGGTTCTGAGACCCCATGGGGGTCAGCAGCAGGGCTGTGATGTGGTGACTTCATACCTGAGTGGGTTTTGTGTCTGGATATTGATTTCCTAAGCCTTGCCATTAAGTTTGGCTGCTAGTTGTTCTGTCACTAACAACTTCTCTGCACTCATCTCTTGCTCCAAAGCTGCCTGCTTTTTGGGAGAAGCTCCTGGTCCTGTTCTTAGCAGTGATGCCAGTAGGGTTTCTGGAATCCAGAATTTCTTATTTGACATAATTAGGAAATGTGACAGAAATGCCATATTGTCTTTTTTGGTTTTCAGCGCTCCTCCTCCCTGTCCTGTGGCCTCACTAGAACTGGCAGAAGACATTGGCTTCAGAAGAGAAAGATTAATGCTATGCTTGGTTTGTTTCTTCTCTTCTTTATCCCAGGTGAAGGATTTACTGCTAAAATATGTGAAGAAAATAGCTCTCCCTTTCCTTACACCAGAAGCAGCTCCAGAGGGCAGAGTCATCCAAAGCAAACTGGCTGTGGGGCTCACCATTCTTGTGGTAGTTGAGCACTATTCGCTCTCAATACCTAAAAGTGACCTGGCTGACCTGTGCAGCCTCCTGTGCTTGGATCAGGTGTCACCACAAGTTGTACAGAATGAGATTGATCACATCAAAGAGGCTTTTTCAGGAGTTTCCAAGTAAGTGTTCCATGTACCTTCTAGCTGACCAAGCTGGTGTTGCTTTGATGAAACAACCAGAATCCAGCTCTCTACTGCTAAAGAACCAGAGAAAAAGTTACATATGTAGGTATCTTTGGAGGTCTCAGTTCCAGCCTCTTGCTTGAAGCAGGGCTAACATCCAGGCAAGGTTGTAGTGCATCATTCCGCACTTTTTGGTTGGTTTCCCCTGGAGTGCCTGTTTGCCAGGTTGTAATCTGACTACCTGGAAGTGGATTTGAAGTTCTTCACTCACACAGCTGCAGCCATTGCATTTCTCTCTGGAGTCCTTCTCTGGGTGGGTGTCACAGGGCTGGGGGGCCTCATGGGGAGACTGTAGGAAAAGGATTGGATCTTCCCAGTGCTCCAGCAGCAGGATCTGTGCAGAGAGGTTCTGTAACATTGCAGCTCTGGGCCTTAAACCTGGACAGGTACGCTCTGCAATGAAGAATAGATGGAGCTAAAATAATTACCAGAGGTTAACTGAAGGTGCATAGGGAGATTGAAACATGGCCTCCCACACCACTATGGCATTCCCAAGGCCAGGATAAAGCTGTTCTTTTACTCAGTATCTTTGTTTTGTTTTCTTTTTTTATTTAGCTTGAGGATTGACCTGACAAACCTTTGCCAGAGGTGCATTGAACTTGACGTAGACCAGTGGGTGTGGGTCCTTCCCCTTCTGCATTCCTTTGCTGCTCCCCTGCAGCAGGAGCACAGGCTGGTGGAGGAGGATGCCTGGGCAGGGCTGGAAGGGCTTCCATTTGCTGAAACCAGGATGAAGCAACATGTGTGAGTTTTCCAGAGCTCCCAGTTCCTTCCAGTGCCTTCAAATCTCTTTTTGTTTTTCCCCTTCCCCGTTTTTAAAGAGTATGAAATGTAGCATGTTAAGGGAGGATGTCTGGGGTATTTGGGCACAGCCACACTGGTGGCTCAGAGGTCACTGAGTGTAGCCCAGTTGGGCACTGTGTGACCAACACAACCCCCCCAGTTCTGCCAGCCAGGGAGCAGGTGGGAGCTAAAGCTGCTCCTGTTGTGTACAGTCTGAGCAAGACCTGGAGTTTATTTTCCCTGAGTGCTTGTGCCCAGTGGTTTGGTTCTGCTGTGCCACCCCTGGGCCCTGGAGACTCCCACTGATCTCAGCTGCAGGGACAAAAGCACAAGAATGGAGGAGACTCCTCTGGGGGCTGCACGAGCTCACAGCCTTTTGTTTCCTGGAATCCTGAAGATTTTGTTTTGTCTTCCCTCCAGAGCAACCCGAATGCTGGCACGAATGAGAGAAAAGAGATACTTGATGGAATTTGATGGGACTCTAGTCAAGTCCTGGCTCTGTGTGGTGCCCCTGGGGAGCCTGGCTGACTTCATAAAAGACTTCTCCAGTGACCCGTTAGTTACTCTTCAAGGTGTTTTGTACAGATTGGAGAATGCTGAGCTCTCGTGCGATAGCTCTCAGGTTTGTCATCTGGCAGCTTCACCCAGCTCTGCGCTGAAGGCTCCAACTGGGCTCCTGGGTGTCTTTTGGCAGAACTGACCATCACTGAGGGAACTGGGGCTCACAGCAGGTCACAGCACAAAGAGCCTCAAACCTAGCTAAGAGCAAAAATAGTTGCACTGAAGTCAGCAACCCCTCAGGGGGAGAGTTGGGGATTTATGTGCAGCAGAAGGTGTTGGCATTGATGAGAGGAGGGTGTTTGTGGTTGGATTTGCTCTTGGTTAGTGATGGCAGATGTTTTAATCCTGACCTCCTCAGACGTGTACCTGAAACTGGTTTTTTTTGTACAGGAGGGTTGGGCAAGGGGCTGCTGGTTTGAGAGATTTTCCTGCTGTTGTGAAAACTTTTGTATTGGTGCAAGAACAGCAGGAGTAGGACCTTGCAACTAATAATAGAAGTTGTAAGAAGTACAGGTTGGGTTTGTGCGTATAAAAGCCGCCCAGGTATTGGCTCTGACATCCAGTAAATAAGTTCTGCTATTTTACAAAATAGCAGAATTTATGAAAATATTGGAGAAGATGCAAAAGAATAGTGAGTTCCCTCCTCCTCAGCTAATCAGAAATCAGTCTGTAAAATTTCTTCCACAGTTTCATATTTTTGTCTTTCCAGTCCCAGGTGCTAGTGGGGATTCTAAACACAGTGCTGCACGCCTTGGCTGAGCCCCCAGCCAGGTAAGTGCAGTGCACCTCTGTGAGAGCAATGTCTGCCTCTGCACCAGGGCTGGGGTCCTGCTTATGTACCTTGAAATCTCTGTTGAGAAAAAAATCCTGGAGTTCCATCCCATCTTTTCAATCCATCTGAGGGAGGTAGCTGCCACACTGTGTTGAATTTGGTGGGGTTTTTACTTTGTTTTTAATTTTTTATTTTTCCTTGGAGCAGAAAATTAACTCTCCCTCTGTGTTGCTGCCCGGCAGAGCTCTGGGGTCTCCTTCTTGGCGGTGCTGCTGGTCCCGCTGCCTCAGGCTGCATGAGAGGCTCTGCAAGGCTGCCAGCACAGTGGGGTTGTTCCTGATCCCTGCCACTGCTGCCACCCTGATTGCCAAGGTTGCCCAGCTTCAGCCCCCAGCAGTGAGTACCAAGGAACTCTTGGCTTGATACAAGCAAGGTACCCAGAAGTATTGCAAGTGTGGCACAACTTACTGGGTTTAGGTCAGGTCCAGTCTCTGAAGAACTTCACAGTCTGAGCAAGACTGTGATACTTTCAGACAGGTGTGGAGTCACCTGATGAGTTTGGTTCTTATTGAAAATAAGGTCAGATGCTCAGGTTTGCTGTCATAAGCTGTGTTTTAACTCTGGTTTTGTTTCTCCTTTAACATTTGTTTACTTCCTGGAACAAGCTTAAGCACAACCTGCCTGTGACCTGCACTTTCCCAGCCTCTCTGCTTTTATTCAAGCAGTGCTGGGTCTGTTGCAGGGCTCTTGTGTGTTCTGGATGCTTTTGGTCTTCTCTTTAGAAATACTGATTTAAATCAGTTGTCTATTGCTGTCCTGCTTGAGCTGTGTTTATTTTGTTGTCTTCCCCTTTGTGTGGGGCAGGTTCCAGGGGATGCTGTGGAGGAAGTCCCAATGGAAGAGTTGCTCAGTGGAGCTCTGAGGGAAGCTCGTACCTGGTTCAGAAAGGTTTTAGATCGCAAGTTACTGGAGAAGCACTCAGACCATGTGATCTTCTCTTTCTCCCCTGAACTTCAGGTTTGTCGTCTTTTGATAAACTGCAGTAAAAAGGGATTTTACTGTAGCTTAGCCAGGGTCTTGAGTCTGCTGGCTCTTTGCTGGGCTCTGCAGATGTGGCTTGGTAAGGAGTGGGGTGGGGATGGGCAGTGTTTGGAGCTCACCTCTGTTCTCTTCCTTGGCTCTTCCTAAAGGCATTGCTGGATGAGGAGCTGCCCCTTGATGTTGTCTTGCTCCCAGTGTGTCCCACTGGTTGTCCTCAGGCCTTCCAGCAGGCAAAGTTCAGAGCAGCCCTGCCAGTCTGAGCTGCTGCTCCCTCTGGCCCTCTCTGGGACAGTTTCCAGCAGTAGGTTGGAAATAGCTCATCCAAATGTCTCCTTCAGCAGCTGAGACATTTACACACTCTTTGGGCTTAAAGAGCAGCTCTGGGAGTGTTCCTTTTCCTCAGAATGGAAACATCTGAAAGGGCTGCAGACTGTCTGAGGCATGTGGGGCATCTCTTCTACATTGTTCTTTTAATTTCCTTTCTTTTATTTTCCTTTCTTTTAATTTTTCTATTAAATCTCAGCACTCAGTAGTTTGGGTTGGTTTGCTTGTCCCCTGCAGGTCTGGGATAAGTTTGTGAAAATCAGCTTTCCAGATAAGAAGTTCACCCAGAAATGGAGGAGCGCTTTACTTGAAGATCTGAAGAAAAGAATCCAGCAGGTAGGGGAGACTCCAGGCAGCCTTGGCTGGTGTCCAGAGCAGATGGAGTGACTTGTGTGTGGAAACCCAGGGCACTGGAATATTTCTCTGTCTGCTCTCGGGTGTCCTCACCCCCAGGGGAGCGCTGTCTTTGACCCCTCATCCATGGAGAAAGTTTCCTAGACTTCAAGGTAGACTAGAATCCACAAAAGTGTGAAATAGATTATAGAGAGTAGTGTAAGTGTATCCCTTGGTGAGAAATTGAGGTTTTGGGATTTTTGTTATGTTGTGGATGGAAGCAAGATGGAGGGCACAGCGTGTCCTGGGTTTCTTCTTCATGCTGCTTCTTTCTTCTTCTTCATGGCTTTGAGTGATGTTTTGTAATTGGTCAGAAAAGTCTGCATTGCAGGCTCTGTGGGATCAGTTCTTGGGTTAAAAGGGAAAATAATCTAGGTGTCAGTTCTTAATTGGATAGTTGAGTCTTAAAAGACCTTGTAACAAGAGATTGTCAACCATTTTGTGCCTTCTAATGAAACTGAACTCACAGTAATGAGACTGTTTTACTGATAAGAAGTAATAAACACCTGAGTCCGAACACAAGTTCGGACTATCTCAAGTGCCTTCAATCCAGACCCAGAGAAACCCACAGCTGCTACTGCCACACTTGTGCTGTGCTTGGAGCAGGAGCATGTGCAAACATGGTGGCTTTGGCCATAACAATTGCCATTGCTGTTATGAACCAGGTTGTGGAGGGTCAGCAATTGGCCATGATGATGTCTCACGCTGTAATCTTGGTCAGTGCCCTGGCTCGGGTCCTGGTGCTTCAGAGGAAATCCACATTCTGAACAATTGTCACCTCTGTGGTTTTAAGAACCAGCAAATGCAAAATAAACACCCAGGGGCTCAGAGAAGCCAAGCTGGTGCCTCTCTTTTCATTCCTTGTGCAGAAATGGTGCTGCTCAGGCTCCCAAATGCACACCCACATGTGTTAGTCCCTTCCAAACTGACATTGTATAGCTCCTCATTTCTTTTCTACAGCAGTTACATATTTCCTTAAGCCATTGAATTTCATGGTGAAGTCAGGAAACAAATATTTTCTGCTGTGAGCTTGTCTTGGAGAGATGGATATTAAGTAATCACACACTTTAGATGGAAATCATTAAAAGGTTTTCCAAGCATTTATTTGTTTGATCTCTCTCCCAGGCCCTCAGAAATGGGCTGATGCTCAGGTTCCTTTTATTGTCTTGATAGCATCACTGCTTCATACTGCCAGGAGAAATACTTTGAGTTGATGAGAAATCTCCCTTTTACCTTTCAGGAGCCTCCAGTGAACCAAATCTTAGTGTACTGTTCTCAGCACCACCACATCACAAAGACAGACTCCTCCATCAGCCAGTGCTTCCAGAGCTGTGCCATAGAGGCTGTACCTCCAGCTTGCCAGGTACTGTGTGTGCCCTGGTAGGGGAAAGGAAAGGTAGGGAAGGGAGGAGAAAGGAGAGTGGGTTTCACAGCAATTCTGTTGCACAGGGATGTGCCTTGTGGTGGAAGGGGAGGTGGAGGTTGCTTGAGCTGCTGCAGATTGTTTGTTAAACCAAAACCAGAAAATATCAACAAGAAATCAGGAAATGAGGTCTGTGAGGAATATTTGTAATGTGTTTCCACCATGAGCTCTGGTATCAGTTGTGTCACAGGACTGCTTTGGAATATTCCTCAGCACTGGAGGGGACTCCTTGGCATCAGTGCCAGTTCTGAGACACGGACACAGTGGGACCCCAGAGTCTGACCTGCCCCTGCCCTCTCTGTGTGCCCTGGCAGATGCACAACAATCTCCTGGAGCAGATCTCTGCCTACAACATGGGCAAGTTCAGCCAGCTCGTGTCTGCTGTCATGGTGAAGTCGTGGCCAGTCATGGCTGGGCAGTCTGAGGGGTATTCTGATACGATTCTGCACCACCTGCTCACATGGCCTGACATCAAACATATCTTCAGCTTTAATGGTAGGTCTGTAGTTGGGTTTTAGGAGGCCTTGAGAAGCTTTTCTCTGCCTCACTGCTGCCACTGCACAGAGCAGCAGAGAGAAATTGTCCTGCTCTTATTTTAGTCCCTATCCCAAAGCTTGAACTATTCAGCTTGGATTTGGAGAGGGAAGGCCAAGGAAAAAGGAGCCACTATTCCTCTTGTGCTAATCCACTACAACTTCCTCAGGATTTGTGGACCATAACTTTTTTCCCTGAGAAGTTCTCACAAGTTATTGGCCAAGAGTTGGCCAAGAGAATGGATCCAATGGCTTTTGTTTGCCCCATAGGGTTTGGGTCTGGGCTCTCCATGGAAAGTTTCCACATTGCTGTCCTGAGATCCTGGCTTTGTTCAAAAAGACATGAGGGGTTGGAGGGTGGTGTGAGTCCACAGGCTCTTGGGTTCAGTAGGAAATGGAAGGACTGTGCCATGGCATGGAAAAGTTCCTGATTCTACCTGTTTTTTGGGAAACATGACATGCTTTGTGTCTGGAACAGAAACAAGCAAAAACCTTCTGGACACGCTCACAGATGAAGCAAAGAATGTCGTGGCTGTAGCAGACTCTGTGCTTAAGAGAGTCACCGATGACATCAACTGCCGCTGCATCCTCGTGAAACACCTGGAGAAGGTTTTCCAGCACAAGGAACAGTTCCTCTGCATGTGGGAGACAAGTAAGAGATGGGTTCAAAGCGGCATGGTTGGTTTAGTGCATCACCGTAATGATGCTGGTCTGCTCAGGAGGGACTGCAGGGGTTGGGGGTGCTCAGGAAGAGCTGCAGCAGTTTGGAGTGCTGTTCCTTGGCCTGGGCAGGGATCTCCCAGCTCTAGTTTGTGTTGTCACTGCGGGGTTGTGACTCTGCAGTTCCCAACCTGAGTTGGGATGCAGGGCTTGGGAAATGTCTGCTTTGTGACTACAGGTGAGTTTTGTTTCAGAGCACCAGCAATGGCCAAGTGAGGCAAAGGAGAAGTTCCAGAGAGGCCTGAAAGAACTGCTGGCATTGAGGCATGAAGAAGTCACACAGCTCAGAAGAGAGAAAGAAGCAATCAGAACCTTCCTGAGAATGTGCCGGGGGATGCAGAAGCCTGTGAGAGGTACAGTCCTGGGGAGCAATCTGAAAGTGTCAAGTCCAGAAAACAGCATTTTCCTTGAAAATCTCTTGGCTTTGCGAACAGGTTTGATTCTAAGCCCCAAAGTGAGGGTGAGGAGGGGTGGGGGGAGTAATTTGGTGCACAAGCACTCAATTGACCCACCACCCAGAGTAATGGTGGTGGGTCAATTGAGTGCTTGTGCATCAAATGACACTTAGAGGGGTCCACCTGCCTGGTAGCATTTTGTGGCTTGGGGGATGGGATGAAGTGAGCTGGAGTGGTTGCACCATCTGATCTCCCTCTGGCCTGTCTCTGGTTTACAGTGGTTTTAGGTGAGGTGGAATTTCAACACTCAGTAGATCTTCACTCAAAAAGACTGGATGAAGTGGTGATAGTGGAAAAGAGGTCCCTGCAGACCTTCTACAGCTTGAGCCCAGAGCTGAAAGAGTTTGTCCACAAAATGCACTCTTTTAAGGACAGCTCAATCTTCCAGCAGTTCTGGGAGGAATCAGTAGAGAAGGTAGGAGAGAAGTATGAGCGTGACTCTTCGGAGGAGGATGAGGAGATTGTTCCTGAGCTGGGCCTTAATGATATTTTGAACTGCATTATCCGCCCTTGCTTTAACAGCTATGCAGAGCTGTATGATGAACTCAGATCAGGAAGTCTTACACTTTCTGCAGTTGATAGAATTTTCCAGGAGTTCATAGGTCATCCTGAACGTCTCAAAGCAGAGCTGAACACCATCTGTGAGCTTCGGCCTGCAGAGGACAGAGGCTGGGTTGACCATCGAGTCCAGCAGATCCAGCAGTACCATGAAATGAATTCAACCTGTGAAGCTGCCAAGATCATTGACTGTGTGAAAGAGAGTTTAGGCCTCTCTGGTGACTTCAGTATCCTGGAAAACTTGTTGCATATAGTAAGTATCTGTGACTTCAACTCTTTACTGTCAGGCTGTTGGCTAAATTCAAACCTTCCCACAAGTCCATCCCAGTCTGTAAAAAGTCATTCCTTGTCCCAAAATGCTCCAAATGCTTTTGTGTAGTCATTCCTTAAAGAGAGATGATGATACTGCTCAGTTGGGGTGTGGCTTTGCAGAGGGCTTTCCTTTCCCTGCTGCAGAACCAGTGACATTTCCCAATTCCAGACTCAGTGTGTGTTTGCACCACTTGCTTTCCAGACAGAAAAGCTTGAACCCTACCAGACCCAGAAGCTGGATTCCATCAGCCCTGAGCTCGTGCAAGCCAAGCAGATTCTGGAGGGGATAACTCAGCCCCGCTGTAGCTGTCTGAGGGAGCTCGCCCGGCAGAAGGAGTTTGTCTGCTGGGTCAGAGAAGCACTGAAAGGTGTGTGCTACTCACCCAGGAATCAGACAGAGAGTACTAGAAGGGATGGCAGCTTGTGTGGGGGCAGAAGGAACTCTGAATCCCTGACCCATCTGCCTTGTGCCTTTGCAGCTTCTGGTGTTGAGAGTTACATCTCTGATGGGCTTTGGTGTAGAATGTGCTATGAGGACGCTTTAAACGTGCCCATGCACTGGTGCAGCACACAGTGACCACCCAGCTTGGAGCTGGGCTGGGTCTGGAGGGCTTCAGCAGCTGCTGCTGCTGCTCAGTTCAGACCTCTTGTTTCAGGGGATGGAGCTGTGTGTCTGCCAGCTGAGATGTCTGACCTATGCAAACACCCTCAGCCACACACACCCCCAGGCACTGCTCCCTTCCTGGCTGGGGATCTGGGGGTCCATGGATGGATGGATGGATGGATGGCCTGGGAAAGCTGATGGGCAGTTACACAGGAGCTGCTGCTCAAAGCATTCTTCCTGCATTTCCTGTAGAGGGTGGTGATGAGGGCTGGGGTCCAAGCTGCCTCATATGTTGCTCACTCCTGTGTTGCCTCCTTTCAGACATAAATGAGCTGAAGGTGTTTGTTGACCTGGCCTCTATCTCAGCGGGGGAGAACGACATGGATGTGGACCGTGTTGCCTGTTTCCACGGCGCTGTGCACGGCTACTCCTCCCTGCTCTACGAGCTCCACCAGGGCTCAGGCTTCGAGGACTTCATGAGGTGCTTGGAGAAGCTGTGGCGAGCCTTGGACAGTGATAAGAGCCTCCCCAAGAAACTGGTGAGTTCTGCTGGGACAGGGCCTCTGCATCCTCCTGCCTTTCTGCCTTCCAGGAGTGGCTGGAAGTTGGACTGCGCTGGGCAAATGGCACCTGTGTGGGGACATCACTGCGGCTCTTGTTTATGGAGGAAAAACAGCTGATGTTCCTGTGGCACAAAAATTCACTGCAGCAGCTGTAGCTGGTGTAGCACAGGTTTCTCCAGGGTGCTACAAGGCTTTCCACTGTGATGTGTGGCCTAGCTCATGCAGGTTTCATGGTGTGAAAGAGGGAAGGCAAGTGCCTGGGAACTCTTATCCTTTTGCAGCAAGGCCTGCCTCTGTAGCAAGAGGTGTTGGAGCACTGTGGGCTCTGTTCAGCCTCCCATGGAGTGGGTAAGGAAGAGCTGTGCAGATAGAGCAGGCTGAAGCCAGTACTCATTGCTTTCTTCCTTCCCCATCACAAAACTCTTGTGCCAGCCCAAGCTGTTTGTCCTGGTCAGGTGTAAGCAGAGATCAGATTTCAGAGCAGCTGGGGCAGTGCTGTGTCTCCTCTCCCCACAGCGTGCCTCGGCTCAGCACCTGGAGTGGCTGAAGACAGTGAAGGAGAGCCACGGCTCTGTGGAGCTGTCCTCGCTGTCCCTGGCAGCTGCCATCAACAGCAGAGGGGTCTATGTGCTGAGGGCACCAGCTGATGGCCAGAAGGTGAGGCTGTGATCACTCAGCTCCCGCTGCCCCTCCTGCCTGGGGGCTGCTGCCCTGGCCTTGGGCAGAGCCCCAGGCATGCTGACAGCTCCTGCTCTTGCTCTTGGCAGGTCTCCTTGGACAGTGTCCTGCGCTTCACCCTCCCGGCGACCTCTGGGGACACTGAAACCTCCCAGAAGTACTCGCTGGCAGAGCTCCGCGAGCTGCAGAACAAACTGATGCTCATGTCTGCCAAGGGAGAGCAAGGCCTGGAGGTGGAGAGGTTCTCTGAGGTCCGATTCCAAACCCAGGGGTAACTGGTGTTGGGCCAGGGCTGGTTTTTCCCGTGACTATAAGACTTTGGAGTTGCTGGGAGTGTTCCTGCCTGTGGTTCCTTGCTAAGGTAGAGCTAAGCTGCAGACAGAAGAGTGAGCTGGTTGCCTTATCCTCTGGCTGCACTGGGGATTGTCCTGGCTGGCAGCATCACTGTAATTTTGTAGCAAGCTGGGAGTTCCTTACTGGTTTCCTGGGGATACTGTTGTTAAAAAGTCCCAGAGAGTCTCTGGTTGCTGTACAAGGCCTGACATGCTTTGGGACATTCACTGAATGTCTTTCCAGGGGTTTCATGGCTGAAACTTGCAAATCAGCTTGTTTCTCTCTCCTCTGTCTTTGCACAGGTCTTTTCCAATGTCCAGAGACTTGCCCAGGCCTTTATAGACCTGTACTCAGCTGGGAACATGCTTTTCCGCTCCTGGCTTGCCCAGGTGTATTGTTCACCCCACAGAGAATCCTGTGTTTTTATAGACTTCTCTCTGGGCCCCATCCCAGTGCTGGAAGGGCAAGGGGATATGGCAGCTGTGCTCCCAGCCCTCTGCAAGACCATGGAGAGTTTCCTGGAGAGCTGGAAAAGCTTCATGAATGCCAGGCGTTGTGAGCATTTCTACCTGAACTACTACAGTGCGGAGCAGCTGGTGTTCCTGTGCTTGGAGCTGGGCCGGGGCAGCCCCAGCCAGGCTGCCCTCATGATGCTCTCCTTCCTCAACCCTCACTGCACTGAGCAGGATGCCCTCACAACCCTCAGGAGCCAGTGCCCTCCCATTTCAGGGAAGGCTGCTTCTGACTTCCAGGTGCTGCTGGATGGGGAGAGGGACCTGAGTGCCCGGCTGAAGCGCATCTGGGAATGCTACATGAGCAACATGGGCTCCTTCCTCCCCAGCTGCCTGGACATCGACACACTGGGCCTGTGGCTGAAGAACCTGGCCAGCAGTGGCAGGGAATGCATCACCAGAGACTTCCCTCAGGATCTGCTCTGTGTGGGCCAGCCCAACCTCATCCTCTGCCCTCGCTCCGAGGTGCTCAGCTCTGCCCTGGCTATTTACATGAACAGTCCTGAGCAGCCCCTTCCCACCTTTGATGAGGTGCTGCTGTGCACGCCCCAGACCAGCGCAGAGCAGGTGGGGCTGTTCCTGCACAGGTGCCTCATTCCCTGCCAGGGTGGGAACAAGATTTACACCATGCTCTATGCAGATGAGCTGAGCTATGAGGTCAGCTGCAGGGCAGAGGAGCTGTTCCAGCACCTGCAGTGCTGCAACAGCTCCTACAGGCTCGTCATCCTGTGCAACTGCGAGCGGGAGAACAGCTACCTGCCCTCTGCCTTCAGCCACTACAAGGTGCACATGATTCCCCAGAGGTCACAGGAAGATATCCAGCAGTACCTGCAGCGCCACTTCCGAGTGGCTCAGCCCTCCAGCTCAGCTGCAGCCGTGTTCAAGGAGCACATGTGTGTTGGGATTGTGTCCTCCAAAAGAGCTGGCATGGGTAAGATGGCATGGGCAGCGTGGGCTCTGCTGAGAGCTCAAAACCAGGGTGGGGTTTACCTTACCAGGTTTTGTGTCCAAGATTTAAGTGTCTTCGTCAAAAAGAGCAATTCAGACTGGTCAGTGCAGGGAGGTGAAAGCTCAAAGTCCTCTTGTCCCCTGGTTTTGTTACAGGTAAAAGTTATGTTAAATTAAGGTATAATTCAATTATATTGTATTAGTTGTGTTATATTAATTTTATTATGTTAAGAGGAGGGGCTTATTAGAATGTGCTAGGAGAAGAGTCCGGGGTTTGGTGGAAGGGTGGTCTGGTGGGGGAAGGCGAGGTCAAAGTGAGATTGGATGGAAGATCTGACCAATCGTTCGAAGCCCTGCAGAAACGATTGGTCCAGAAGGAACGGCGTTAAAGACCAGTGAGAAGCCTGGACATGGACCAATCGCCATGCAGATCCAAAACAGACCAATCCTAGATTCAAAGGGGGCTATAAATGGGAGGAGCTCGGTTGGGTCGGGGTTCTTCTTTTTGGAAACTTGTTTTATGGGGAGAACCCCATGCACTTGAGGTTAGCGCACTGTTCTGTTTTTGGCTCGTTGTGTGGGTGCCTGGGCTTATCCTGGGTACTCTGTTCCTTGCAGCTGTTTTAATAAACGAGAACATCTTTCTCCAGAGAATGTTTGGACTCGTTCATATTCATAACAGTTTGACTTTAGGAACAAGTGCAAAATAGGATAGATTCAAGTCCTAATAAAGAGTAAAGCTTCTTTCAGGCAGTGGAAGGAGAACAAACCTTATGGATAACAAGAGCAATGTGTTGGATTCCAGGCTCCATCTGCTCAAACCAGACTTAGATTTGTTCTGGAATGCCTTTTAGGAAGCTTCAGAGATTTTAGGGCATGGGGTAATTAAACATTTGATTTCCTTCTATTGTCTCTTAACGTGATCTATCTGATATTGATGGCTTTGGTTCTTGTGGTGTTTTTAATAACAGGGAAATCTCTGTATGTGAAGAGGCTGCATGAGAGACTGCAAAAAGATCAGCCTGACTGCACAGAACTTCTGAAAACCATCAGACTGATTGAACCAGAAGTGGATGAAGATAAAGTGCTGAAATCTCTTCTGCCTTTTCTGGAGAGAGAACACCAGACAAAGCCCATGATATTCCATTTTGATATCACCTCCTCAGTGAGTACATCCCTCCCACAGCTGCCTTGTCCCACAAGTCCTGTGTGGACCCTTGCAGGAGCTTTCTGTAAAGCTTTTGTTTCTCAACTAGCCATTTCCCTAGCAAGCCTTCTCTCATTATTGTGCAGGTAATGCTAATACCATCAAGGTGATTGAACTCTGGAACAGTTGCCCAGGGAAGCTGTAGAGTCTCTACCTTGGAGACATTAAAAACGTGACTGAATGTGGCCCTGAGCAGCCTGTTCTAGCTGGGCCTGCTTTAAGCAGAGAGCCTTCCCACCCTCAACTGTTCTGTGATTCTGTGAAGTTGTGGTGGGTAAATAAAGAAGAAATGCCTTGGTATCTCTCTTTGTGATAGGTGCAGCGTGGAATCCCAGAGTTTCTTTTCAAGCTGTTGGTTTTGCAGTACCTGACAGATAATAATGGCAATATGTGGCTACGGCAGAAGTGTCATCTGTACATCATTGAAATCCTGGAGTTGTCCCCAGTGCCAAAGACAGCAGCCAGACATGTATGTACCAGAAATGCTCATTTTCTGGGAATTTTTCAGTCTCTTTACACATGTTTGTACATAGCTGTGGTGAGTTGTAGAGACTGTAACTGTAAACACAGCACACAAGTTCCCTGTTTCATTGGGAGTGTGCTGTATTCCATAACCAACTGGTGTCCCTGGTGTTGTACAAAATGACATTTACACTGGACAGCAAATTAGGCCTGTCTGGTTTCCTTGGGTTTGTGATTTCTGAAGGCCTGTTAGTCCCAGCCCAACTGTAACATTTATAGGATTCATAAAAGCACAAAATCTAATCTTCCCTCATGTGAATTGGCACGTTTGAAAGTAGGGGAATATTTATGTGCAGCTGTAAGAGCAGAATGTAGAAGTGACAGGAATAAATACCAGCAGTTTCTTGGGTTTTGTTTCCTTTGAAGTAGCTCTGAGAAGGGGCTGGAGGTGATGCCAGGCTCATGTACCTGGAAGGAAAATGTAGGCAGAAATAGGATTCCTTGGTGCACTTTAAGTGGAAGAAGCGATGCAGAGGGAAAAGGCTGGCTCCCGTTCCCCAGATCTGTGGTTTTAGGCAAGGAGATTGTTAAGAACAGATTAATTAGGCTGATGAAGATTGAGGCTACAGCTCTGTGATGACCTTTTCTTTTTCTCTTGTCCAGATGTCAGTGCGCCAGAAGTATCACTTCTTGGATGTGTTCCCTAAAATAATGTGCAAGTCTCCCAAAGAAGTGCTAGACATGGAGACACTTGAGAACCATTCTGGGGATGTGGGAATGGACATGGAGGAATTTCGCAGTGAGGCTTTCCAGAGACCCTTCCAGTACCTGAAGAGGTTTGACCAGGGCTGTGACCTGGACAGGTTCCGGTACAAGGTGCTCTCGGTGGAAGGCAGACCTGCAGAATGTGTGCAGCACTTCCTTCTGCACTGCGGGGTCGTGGATCCCTCTTGGGCAGAGCTCCGCAACTTCACCTGGTTCCTCAACGTTCAGCTGAGAGACTGCGAGGCTTCTGTCTTTTGTGACCCTGGCTTTGTTGGGGACACTTTGAATGGTTTCAAGAGCTTTGTGGTTGGCTTCATGATTTTAATGGCACGGGATTTTGCTACGCCCTCCCTGAGCATTTCCGACCAGAGTTCAGGAAGACAATCCTCCCACCTGGAGAACGTCACAGAGGAAGATCTGCTTCCTTTCCGCATCAGGAAGAGGTGGGAATCAGAACCTCATCCCTACCTGTTTTTCAATGCAGATCATACATCCATGACATTCATGGGTTTCCACATCCAGCAGACCAGAAATCACATTGATGCCATCGATCCTCTGAATGGGAACGTCATCAAGAAGGACATCATGACTGCCCGGCTGTACCAGGGCTTGTTATTGCAGGGGGTTCTCTTCAATGTGCCCTTCAATCAGCTGCCCCGCAAGGAGAAGCTCGAGAGGCTCTGCATGGTGCTGGGGCTCCCCAAGGTGTTTGACCCCGACAAGACATATGAGCTCACCACGGACAATGTGCTGAAAATCTTGGCCATTGAGATGCGATTCCGCTGCAACATCCCAGTGGTCATCATGGGAGAAACAGGCTGTGGGAAAACCAGGCTGGTAAAGTTCCTGTGCCAGTTACGCAGCAGGTCTGCAGAGGTGGAGAACATGAAGCTTGTCAAGGTTCATGGAGGTACCACAGCAGAGATGATCTACGCCAGGATCAGAGAAGCAGAAGCCCTGGCTAAATCCAACAAGGAGCAGCACGGGTTGGACACTGTCCTCTTTTTTGATGAAGCCAACACAACAGAGGCTGTGAGCAGCATCAAGGAGGTTCTGTGTGACCGCACGGTACAGGGGGAGCCTTTAGCCTCTGACTCAGGCCTGCGGATCATCGCAGCCTGCAATCCCTACCGGAAGCACACGGACAGGATGATCCGACGCCTGGAGCTGGCTGGGCTGGGCTACCGGGTGAAGGCTGACGACACCCGGGAGAAGCTGGGATCCATCCCACTGAGACAGCTCGTGTACCGGGTGCACGCGCTCCCACCCAGCATGATCCCACTGGTGTGGGACTTTGGGCAGCTCAACAACCACATGGAGAAGATGTACATCCAGCAGATGGTGCAGCATGTGGCGGAGCAGCTGCCCATGGCCAAGGATGAGGTGAGGACAGTCACAGAGGTGCTCTTTGCCTCCCAGCAGTACATGAGGCAGATGGATGACGAGTGCAGCTTCGTCAGCCTGCGGGATGTGGAGCGCTGCATGGAGGTGTTCAAGTGGTTTTACAGGCACAGCCACATGCTGCTGATGGAGCTGACAAAGTACCTGGCTGAGAGGAAAGCTCCCAAGCACAGCGGTGACAGAAACAATGTCATCTGGTCCTTGGTGCTGGCGGTCAGCGTCTGCTACCATGCATCCCTGGAAAGGAAGGAGCCGTACAGGACTGCCATCAGCCAGGTCCTCCCAAAGCCTTACAATACCCAGAAAAAGATTTTGGAAGAAATCTCCCTGATGCAGGACTTATTCCTGAGTGGGGTGCCACTCCAGGATACCATAGCAAGGAACTTGGCCTTGAAGGAAAATGTCTTCATGATGGTCATCTGTATTGAGCTGAAAATCCCTCTTTTTCTTGTCGGGAAGCCTGGGAGCTCCAAATCCCTGGCAAAAACCATCGTGGCTGATGCTATGCAGGGCCAAGCAGCTCATTCTGATTTGTTCAAGCACCTGAAGCAGATCCATCTTGTGTCTTTTCAGTGTAGCCCTCTCTCCACTCCAGAGGGCATCATAGGCACTTTCAAGCACTGTGCTCGATTCCAGGAAGGGAAGAACTTGAAGGAGTATGTATCAGTGGTGGTTTTGGATGAGATTGGGCTGGCAGAAGACTCTCCCAAAATGCCCTTGAAGACTTTGCATCCGCTTTTGGAGGATGGCTGCATCGATGATGTCCCTGATGCTCACAAAAAGGTTGGCTTCATCGGGATTTCCAACTGGGCTTTGGACCCTGCTAAGATGAATCGAGGTATCTTTGTGTCTCGTGGGGACCCCAGCAGAGAGGAGCTCATCAAGAGTGCAGAAGGCATTTGCTGCTCGGCACGAGGGGCTCTGCAGAAGGTCGAGCAGTATTTCCAGCACTTTGCAGATGCATATGAAAACATTTGCAAGGCTCAAGACAGGGAGTTCTTTGGCCTTCGTGACTACTACAGCCTCATAAAGATGTTTTTTGCCTTAGCTAAGAGCTCCAATAGGGACCCCACACTTCAGGACATTGCCACAGTGGTTCTTCGTAACTTCGGTGGCAAAGATGATGTCAATGCCTTGGAAATATTCACTTCCAAGTTGCCAGAAAAAGGGGAGATACGTGCTTGTGATATCAGTAGGATAGAGCTGATCCGACAGAACATTTACAGCAGTGCTGAGGATGGGGACTGCAGGTACCTGCTTGTTTTGACTGAGAACTATGCGGCACTGCAGATCCTCCAGCAGACTTTTTTCACTGCCCAACAGCAGCCAGAAATCATCTTTGGCTCCAGTTTTCCTAAGGACCAAGAATATACCCAGATATGCAGGAACATCAACCGAGTGAAGGTCTGCATGGAAACTGGCCAGATGGTTGTGCTCCTCAACTTGCAGAACCTCTACGAGAGCCTCTATGATGCCCTCAACCAGTACTACGTGTACCTGGCTGGGCAGAAGTACGTAGATCTGGGGCTGGGCACGCACCGGGTGAAGTGCCGGGTGCACCCCAAGTTCCGCCTGAT